CCATCCATCCATCCATCCATCCATCCATCCATCCATCCATCCATCCATCCATCCAAACGTACACTCATCAATGCATCCATCCATCCATCCATCCATGCATGCATCTACCCAAACGTATGTACACATACACAATATATACTCAAAATCCTTCAACAGAGCAAGGTATGAGTACATGGATGGGTTCCGCGCAATTTACCGATCGGCGCCATCTTAATTGCGCTGCACGATTTCAACGATCGCATAACTGTATAATTCTTGTGAGCGCTTCAGTTTCATATCGCAATTTTAATTTTAATTTTAATTTTTTTAATGTTCATATTTTACCACTTTTGAAAGTATACGTGAATGTTCCTTGATGGGAGTGAAAGAATAACGATGGCAGTGAATTTGTAAAAAAAAAAAATATTTCAAAAATTAAAAATAAAATGAATGTAATGTACTTTGTGAATTTGAGTTTGATACGTATGGCATTGTATCATTCTTGTGGGCTGTTCAGCTTCATACGTTCACCTTAATTTAAATTCAAATTTTGATTTTCATAATTTTACACTTTTGAAGATATATGTGAATGTTCCATGATGTGAGTAAAAGAATGAAGATGGAAATGAATTTTTAAAATCATAATTATTTTTAAAAATATAATACATTAACGCAATCTTCAGATTGCCACGCAATTGTGCGATCGTTAAAACGCGCAGAGCGATCTTAAGATTACGCCGATCGGTAAATTGCGCGGAACACAATATTATGTATACAATACAATACCATTCTTAACGAACACCACGCCTCAGTGCACAGCTGCAGCTTACAGAGTTATTGAGGAATAGACGAACACGTTTGGACTGGAGACACTGCAGAAAACATGGTAGCCTACATCATTATCCTCACGGGAAAACTTACACAACACGGGCAGGAATATCCGCGGATTGAAGAGAAGCAACAATTAAGTAGGGTCAGATTGTCAGATTGTCAGATTGTCAGATACCCCCCACGGATTGTTACACTATCTCTTCCAGCACCGATAAGATAGACCACTTGCGTCAATGTTTTCCGCGAGAGATTCGTGGTTGGGGGCCTCTCTACTCTCCCCTCGCTGTGAACGATGGCTAGCCTCATATCTGTCGGTACAGGGCTAAGATTAAATCCACGAGGTTTGCTGTACGGTCCTTGGTAAAAAGCCTATTTATAAACATTATAACCAAAGATTCTGCTTCCTTGTTCAAGCATAGGTTCAAGTTGTTAGTAAAGAACGCCATGGTTCAAGTGCGTCGACTCCTCTAGGCCCTAGGCCTATTACATACCGGAGACAAAATCTCCAGTAGATCTCCACCCAGTGAAAGAGGTTTCCTATTGGCAACTATAAATAGCGCTTTGTGACTTCACGACAGTTGTTTCGCGAAACGTTTGTGACATGTGACTTTTGCTTCTGCCGACACCCGACCTACATAGATCCATAACTCTATGCATAGAGCTAGTCTGTTGCGTCAGCTTTTGGTTCTAGTCAAGGAGTTTAGAACTTTTCATCTCCTTAGTTGTAGAGGCCTAGTTCTAGTGGAAACTACAAAGGACACGGAAGGTTTACTAACCCCCCCCTCCCTTCTCTCCCCCT